ATCCTCAAGCATTCTCCAATACTCTTCCTCACTGTATTTCAGCTCTTTTTTCTCACTATGAATTTGAGCTAAGATGTCTATTTGCTCCTCTACTCCTGACTATTTTGTATTCCTATCTCTGAGTAGCTGGACTTGAAGATGGCCAAATTCTTTCTCTCCTTATTCAGCTGATGTGCACAGACACATATTTTTAGAAATTTTTAAGAAAAAAATAAGGGAAAATGGTTCAAAACAAAGCAGTAGTTGAATATGCAGAACATGAAAATGTATTTTATAATAAATACTATCTGTAATTAATTAAGGGCTAAACAGACTTACTTTTTAAGTCACACCTATCCTGCCAGAACTGCGAGAAAATGGTATTTTCTAAGCCATTGCTTTTCATTGTAATCTGTAGCCACTATCAGGAAAAGGAAGGAAAATTTATCTCCTGTCCTTTAAAAAAATAGAAAGTCCCCCAGGATATGATATTTCATTTCTTCCTGATTGGGCACAGTGTAAAGAACATGAGCTCTGGCCTCACAAACTTTGCTTCAAATCTTGGTGGTCACTAAAAGCAATCTTGGTCAAATCTGGTGTGCATTAATTGTTCATTTCTTTTCCTTTCTGTTTTTGGAAAGGGGCATAGAATGGTATGTATAATAGGCTTTGGAATCATAAATCCTAGCTCCTTCCCAAGTGGATGTGGATAAGCTATTTGTAACTTCTGAACCCCAACCTTCTTTTCTGTGAAATGAAGGTAATGAAACTGAAATGGTATGAGACCTACATGAACTAACATATGTAAAATGTCACATAATGCCTGACAGTTGTTTTTCCCAAACCTCGTATATTTTATGATTTAAATATCTTTTTGTGGGTTTTACATTGCATGTGAAATGAGTTTCAGATACCCAGTAAAACAAAACAAACTCTTCAAAATGAACCCACTTTAAAAATATAACCTACTTTTTAACCTTGAAGTATAATAAAATTAGCATGTTTTAATTTATGAGTAGTGTGCCACAGGAATGAGCCTGGGTCTTGTTTAATATTTTCATAATAAAATCAAAGAATGTTAGCGATGGACAGAAACCTCTTTTCTTTGGTTAAATGAGTTTACTTGTCTATTAGAGAAGCTAAGTATCCTTCCCTAAGCCATACAGCTACTTGGTAAAAAGAGGCCCAAACCTAGATCTCAGTTTAATTCATGAAATATTTGTGGAGTTTCTTTGGCAAACCAGGCAGTGTGCTGGACCCTGGAGAATTACCCTAATTCTCAGAAAGCTTATAGACACTTGAAAGCTGATAAACACTAAATTTAACAAGGTAAGTGCTGTGATATAGGTGTGCATAGGATGCCATGGAGCGTAAAAGAAGGTCACTGTCAGTGTGGAAGTTAGTAAGTTTCCTTGAGGACTTGAAGCCTGAATATATTCTAAAGGATTAATAATTAAAAGAGTTGTGAGGGGAATAATTAGAAGAGTTAATGCCTTATCAAAAAAAAAAAATCTCATGTTTGGTTCCCTCTCTTTCAAAGAATTACTTTTATTAGTGACCCCAACATTATTGTGTGTATCACCCTGTCCTCTAAGTTTCTTAACATCCTCACATCTAATCAGATTTTCTCTCACTTATCTCACCCACTTTCCATGGTTATGCTTTACATTTTTTCATTTTTCTTTTCATTTTCATTCTACCTGTCACTATTGATTTTTTTCCATTTTCTGTCTTCCATGTCCAAACTTTCCTCCTTAAACGATTTAGATTATACACCCCCTTATTTTAGTCATTCCATCACAAACACCTTTAATTCCATAGTCCTCAACTGTTTTAACTTGGCAAAACCTAGTCCTTTCCTACACCCCTGCCAACCTCACTGCCCAGCTGAATATTGCTAGACAAAGTCAAATGATCTTTCTTATGGACTGCTCTGACTCTAAATTCTTGATCATAGATTTCAAATGACAGTCAGCTCTAGAGTCTGCTTTTCGACTCTCCAAAATTATTTGAGAATTTCTTTTTAACACACAATTCAATGCATGCTTTGCCCCAATTAGCCAAGAATCTTACCTTTTAAATCATTGAGTAAATAGAACCAGTCATTTGAGAACACCTTTTTGTACCTTCAAAACTCCCAACATATCCGCTTTGTACTCTACCTCTCAATTTGTTCTTCTGTCTTACTGAAAGTGTTACTATTTCTATCAAAATCTAATTCCTTTCCCTGTGTACTGGATCTTGTCTCTTCTTAACTATTCAAGGACTTTATATATCTTAACTTAAATATCTCTATTTCCTCACCTCCTATATTATATTCTCGGCCTGCCATAATTAAGCTTCTGTCTGTGCCATCCCTGAAACTACTCTTGTCAAGGCCATCAGTAACTTCTGCGTTGTCAAATCCAAAAATTCTTTCGTCTTCTCATTTTAACCTCTCAGCATTCAACCCTGTTGACAACTTCCCTTTTCTAAAATATTTCTTTTGGTTTCCATGATATCTGGTTCCCTTCCTACTTCATTGGCTGATAATTCCTCTCCTTTCGACACCTAAATGTTGGAATAGCAAAGGGCTCACAGTTCTGGATCCTTTACTCATTTCCATGTATACTCCTTACTTGGGTGATCTTATCTAGCCTCTTAGCTCTAAAAATCATCAATATGAAAGTAAGATCTGAATGACTATCAACAGCTCTGGTTTTTCCCTTGAGCTCTAGGCCTGTATATCACATTATCTACATAATATCTCCATTTGGTTGCCCTTGTGCACTCTCCCATCTGTTCCTCCCCTAGCCTTTGCCATCTCAAGAAATGGTACCATCAACTCATTTTCTTAAGCCAAAACCTGGGAGTTCTCCGTAATTGTTAATTGCTCTCTTACCTTCATACCTTCATATAACTCATCAAAAAAATCCCATTGCCTCTGTTTCTAAATATATCTTTAAAGTTGTGTGCTTATCTTAGTCTTACAGTTTCACATAACTGTCTTCTAAACTTTGAGGTGGCAGGAGGAGACAGAAGTAGAAGTAAAAAAAGTAGACACTTTAATTTTCTATGATGGAGTAACCGTGCATGTTTGTTAAAAAGTGACACACCACTCAACCCCAGTCATTCAACAGTTATTTAAAGCTTACTATATAACCACGCACCTTCAAATCTCCCAACATGTCTGCTTTGTATTTGAACTCACAGTCTGTTTTTCTGTTATATTGCAAGTGTCACTATTTACTTTCTAACCGGTCTTCCTGCTTCTATTCTTAATGAATTCATTCTCCATACATGATCAAGAGCAGTATTTTTGAAACAGTCACGTTACTCCTGTGCTTACAGTCTTCTAGTGGTTTCCCAGCATATGTAAAATAAAACCCATACTTCATATCAAGAGTACCAAACCCTCAAAGGAAACATGGTCCATGGATATCTCTGACTTAATCCTGTAATACCAAGCTTACTGCTAATTTCCATGTGTCTTCTCTGCCATGAGTGCTTTTGTTCAGGCCTTTAATGGTTGGCTCTTTTTCATTCTATCGGCCAACTCTCAAAAAGGTCTTTTCATTCACAGCTTCTGATATACTAATAATCCACATCCTCTACCACAAACTGCCATGTTACCCTGCTATGATTAGTGCTTGTACTATGTCTGACTTATCCTTTGCTCTGTGCCTAATACCTTAGAATAGTGCCTGGTTTATATAGTAAGCTTTATTTTTTTTTAATTTTTTATTATGTTAATCACCATACATTACATCATTAGTTTTTGATGTAATGTTCCATGATTCCTTGTTTGTGCATAACACCCAGGGCTCCATGTAGAACGTGCCCTCTCTAATACCCATCACCAGGCTAACCCATCCTCCCACCCCCCTCCCCTCTAGAACCCTCAGTTTGTTTTTCAGAGTCCATCATCTCTCATGGTTCGTCTCCCCTCCGATTTCCCCCCTTCATTCTTCCCCTCCTGCTATCATCTTCTTTTTTTTTTTTCTTAACATATATTGCATTATTCGTTTCAGAGGTACAGATCTGTGATTCAACAGTCTTGCACAATTCACAGTGCTCACCATAGCACATATAGTAAGCTTTAAATAAATAATTGTTGAGTGATTCGGTGGTGCGACTTTTATTTATTTATTTTTTTAAGATTTTATTTATTTATTTGACAGAGAGACACAGCGAGAGCAGGAACACAAGCAGGGGGGAGCGGGAGAGGGAGAAACAGGCTTCCTGCCGAGCAGGGAGCCTGATGAGGGGCTCGATCCCAGGACCCCGGGACCATGACCTGAGCCGAAGGCAGACGCCTAACAACTGAGCCACCCAGGTGCCCCTCAGTGGTGCGACTTTTAAACAAACATGCATGATTATTTCACCACAGAAGTTCGATTACTGACTGCATTTTTTTCACTTCTTACTCCTATTGCCATTTCCTAAGAGGTTAAAATGCATGTACTCTGCTAATCTGAGTCTCTCCTATTCCTACAAAGAATTTGACCTCATACTTAAGGATGACCAAGTCCTCTGGATTTGTGTACATTTTAATTATTAGTTCATTTTTGCTACTTCATTCTAGTTTGGGTTTCTTTTACATTCTCTGGGTTTCCTACACCATTCAGTTATGAAACAATTATGTAATTTTTTTAAGTTTGTTGTTTTTTGGTTTTTTTTTTAAGTAATCTCTACACCTAACACAGGGCTCAAACTTATGACTCCCAAGATCAAGAGTTGCATGCTTTTCTGACTAGGCCAGCCAGGCACCCCACAACTATTGTAACCTTTAAATAATTGTGTTAAAAGTCATGTTGAGTTATGTAATTCCTATTATCTGAGTAGGTGAGTAGTCTCTAAAGCAAATTTTTAGAAGTATACCTTACGCTGATTTAGAACTTCTGGTCTGAAGATGAGAGTGGGGTATGATTTAGTGATATATATTTATATTCTTTTAGAAGCAGGTTGTCCAGTGCAATATCAAGTAATATTCATGTTTCCAGAGCCCATTTACTTTCCCACAATTTCAGTTTATTTTTTAGGATGGTATACTTGAAGAACAATTACGAATGCATCTTCACTGTTGTTTGACACTTTGTGATTTCTGGGAGCCAAACATTGCAATCGTCACCATTCTGTGGGAATATTATAGTAAGAACCTGGTAAGTAAATAGAATATGAATTTGTTCCAGGAATTTGAAGAATTTGTACATATGTGAGGAATGTTTTTATGGTTTAATTAAGAATAGCTATCTATAGAGCATTGACATAAGGGAATGAGCATTTGCGTTCCTTTTCTCTTAAGAGTGAGAGTAAGCGAAGTAGCCAAAATTGTACCAGAAAGATATTTTTTTAATCCTCATTTATTCATATTTTCTAACAATTACTGATTGCTTGCAACACGTTGAACAGTTAATACTATCCCGAATGAGACATACTCTTGGCATTTGAGTTGCTTATAGGCTAGTGGGCAGATACACATACATTGTGGGGGAAAAGGTTACAGTACTGTGGAATGCCAAAGGACAGCGTATCTGACCAGTGTATAGACTTGTGGAAGACTTTAGGACGTTGTAATTTTTTAACTGAGGAATTAATGGAGTTTACAAGTACAGAAGAAAAGAGCATTCAAGCAAAAGGAATATTATGAACAAATGTATGAACACATAAAAACATGATCTTTTCCTACCGTGTTAAATAAATAGTTCTGAATGATAGGTTTGAGATAACTGTGGAAAGAGACAGCAGATAGGGAAAGTAGGTAGACAAGGTAGTCAGTGGCTAGATTATGTGCATGTGTAGTTGTGATTTATTCTGGAGACATAGGATACCAAGGACATGACATATTAGATATGTGTGTGAGAAGGTTTTTTTCTGAAAATGGTATAAATGAATTGGGTGCCAATTAGTAGTCCAGTGTAAAAATACATGCTAATAATGTGGTGAGTGAGTTAAAATAGGGTTTAGAAAGGAGAGGATAAATTAGGAAAATAAAAATTTTAAAGGTAGATTTATAGGATTAATTACCTTTTATGTGTGAGGAGAAGAGAAAATTTGGAATGTTCGGGTTTCTGGGTAAATAGTGAACCCCTCAGTCAAGATAGAAAATGGAAATGGGAGATTTACAAGTAAATTACTAGTTTGGGTTTATACATAATGGAGCTTATGAAAAATGAGAAAAATACTTTTCTCTGAAGCATAATTTCAGGCTGATTGGAGAAATGACCCATTCTAGGTCTGAGGTAACATGTATAATAAGAGTCTCTAGTGTCTTGTCATATTTGAAAGCAGGGAATATCAAAGTAAGATGGAGTCCTGTCAAAAGGACACAGGAGCCAACTTGAAGGAGCTCCTGTTGCCCGCATGCTGGGTAGATTTGAGCATAAGAAAGAATAATGACTGCTGTGGATTAAAACTCATCAAATACATTTAAATCCTTGAGTGTATGATGCCTTTAGAAAAGTTACTACTCTGAAAAAAAAACCCTCATTCTGGAAAAAAAAACCTCATCATTCTGAAAACTGTAAATAAGGGAAAATATAAACTATATTTTAGAGTAACCAAATTTCTAAGGAGCTAATTGAGAAGTAATGATAGAATTAGAAAACTACTGTTTGTACACCTGATGAAGTACGGTATCTGGGCAGTGATCATCAGTGGCTGCTAAAACTGTTTAGTGAAAGTCTGGTGGGGATCGCTCAGATGAATAGATCAGGTTGACAACACACCCAATCTTAACATTACAAAAGGAATGACACAACTTATGTCTCTCTTTCCTAAATTACAATAGGAAGTGCCCAGTACCATCAATGGAAGATTCTTACCAAAAAACTCTACTTGCGTGAATCTGATCAGTCCTCTAGATACAGCTACCAATTTACAGAAAAGAGAGGGGATAAAAGAATACATTACATGACACTAGGGAGATATAAGCAGCTAAATCCAGATTGGAGAAAATTCTACACACCAAATGACCTGATATAAAAATAAATGGTATGACATAAACGCTGGGAAACTTAAAGAATAGAAGAGATTAAAAAATTCTTATTTACTCAGACTTAATACTTTTTATTTATTTGTTTGTTTACTTATTTATTTATTTATTTGCTTTTAGAATAGTTCTTTCAGCATCTCTTGGCTTCCTTTGAAAGGCCTTACATATATCATTAAGTCACCCTTGTCAATGCTAGAAATGGTGAAGACCTGCTGTTGTGATAAACAAGATAATGACCTTTATAAATCCAGCAGTAGTTACACCATTTTCCTTTGCATTTTGGCAAAAGTTGTTAAGAAAGCAATGAAGAACAATGGCCCTCATCCTTGGAAACAAATCAAAGGAAGGTATGTGCCATATCTTTCTTTGTCATTTTTTTTTTTTTTTTTAAGATTTTATTTATTTATTTGACAGAGAGAGACACAGCGAGAGAGGGAACACAAGCAGGGATGATCACTGTAGAGAAGCATTACTTACTGTTTGTATTTTTTTAGTTAACTTGTGCTTGGAAGTCTTTGTGGTTTATACATTTAAGATGTATTCCTTAGTGTATACAGGACAACAAAACATGTAGCCTTTTGATCCTGCCAATTTGTAACAGGAACAAATTTAATATCTATAACTTGTAGAGGATTTTAGTTTATCTCATCTGTCCTGAAGATTGAAATTCCAGATATTAAAGTCAGGGCTATTAGAGAATGTTTTTCTTGCCAAAATTAATTGTAATGTTATTATATAAATTCAAAGCATAAAGTGTATTCAAAGTTATAGAAATAGAAAACATCTCCAAATCATACATTGGCAGGTAATGGAGTCAACCTATAAAACTTGGTGTTCTTTGAGTCTAGCAGTCCCATAGGCCCTGCTCCCTTGAATGAAAACTAAACAGAGGATAATAGGACAAAATAACTTGATTGTTCACATTTGGGGAGTATGCCCAGTTTTCATTTCTGGCGTAGTAAAATAAACTTTTGGTCATATTCATCTGTTCACTTTTTTTTTTTTTTTTCAGAGTTTTGCTTGTTATGTGGGTATGCGTTTTGTCTTCCCTTTTTCTACTTCATTAGCCCTTTTTCTAGCCATCTTTGTACCACTTGCTTATGTGATGGGAGCTCTTGCATCAGAGTAAGAATACCTTCATATTCTAGGTAGGGACTTCTCAAGAATCACTAAATGAAGTTCCTATTTGATTCCCATATACTGCTTGCAAGGTTATAGTGATAACAGTAGGAGTGTTTTTAGAGTATACTTTTTTTTAATGGTAGCTTCTTTGCTAAACCTCCAAAAATTATGCAGCTCAAACAGTTTTTTCTTTGATCCCGTTTGCCAGTTTGTTTTTGAATCTTAAATCATTTTGTGGAAGACCTGAGACTCAGAACTTTATCTAAAACAAATCACTGGAATGTATTCAGTAACAATTCTATTTATTCTGATCCCTTAATTGGTGAGAGAAAAGTACGTCAACTATTAAATTATATTAACCCAAGAGATTTTTAAATGGTTAGTCTTGGACATTTAAACACTAACCATTTTTCTTTATGAGTAGGTAAAAATAATTTTTTCCAGCATTTTGAATTGTCTTAGGTATAATTATTGCAAGAGCAGGTCTTTGTGAGGGGTAGGAAGAGTTTAAGGAAAATTGTATAAAATTGCCCTGTTAAGATTTCTTTAAAGCACATCAAATTGTACTGAAGGGAGTATATATTCTTTATTTGTCAATAAAAATTTTTAAAAAAAGGTGATTAAGAGTTCTAAAATAATAGGATAAGCCACATACTGTATGAAAAGAACATTTCTGCTGTCCTTTGGGGAAGACCACTCAGTCCTTTTATTTAATCATAGGTGGTTGCTACATCACTGAGAAATTTGAAGGTATGGGCATTCTGTGAGTCTGTTTTCGAAGTAGAAAAAGTGACATGGCAGCATCATAAGAAAAATTAGCTAAACTTAAAGTAATGAAACTGTCATCAGTATTGAGTGAAATGTTATTCTAAAAGATTGATATTTGTGAATGAAAATTTTATACAAGTAATTTTTTTATGTTTTGCAGAATATATTCTAAATTCCATCAAAAAAGAATGGAAGAACTCACAGAAGTTGGTCTTCAGAACTTCTTCAACCTTTTTCTACTGTTAGCAGATGTCGCAGAGGTGGAAGATGTAGCAAGTCATGTTTTAGACCTCCTAAATTTCCTCAAGCCTTCCTTGGTAACATCTTCCATCATTTGGAAGGGTCAAGTGGCCTTCCTCTTGATGTATACCCAGAAAAATCTGGACATTGGTGTTCTGGCTGAGAAATGTTCAGGTGCTTTCCGAGAGAAAGCAAAGGAATTCTTGGTATCTAAGAATGATGAAATGGGACAAAGACAGACTCTCTGGACACTTCTTTCCATCTATATTGATGGTGTTCAAGAAGTGTTTGAGACTAGCCATTGCTTGTATCCTTCACATGAAAAACTGCTTAATGATGGATTTAGTATGCTTCTGCGAGCTTGTCAAGAATCTGAACTTAGGACAGTACTGAGCTTTCTACAAGCTGTTCTGGCCAGAATCAGGTATGTTTTCCAATAATATACTAATTCACTGATTTGTTTTATGTCATCACCTATGTTGATTCTATATTAAAGTTTTCCTTTTGACATACTCATGAAATCCAAATGAAGAGAGAGGAGTTGGTTTTACTGCTACAATGGCATAAATCAGTACTTTTCAAACTATTCTTTCCAACAGTAGTTCTTTAAAAAGAAAGCTTATGTGCAAACATATAAAACTAAATGCAGAGCACCTCCAGTGCAGTCCCAGCACAATGCCTCTTCACCCCGCCTTCCCTTCCTGCCTCTCCTAAAAGAGTATGATTATCCAGAGGAATGTTTCAGATATTCTAAAGCAAGACCAGGAGCTCAAATCTGAGGTGGCTTTTACTGAAACATATGCATTTTGTGCACTTAAGGAGATTTTGACCACACTGTACCATTTTAAAAAAAGTAAGTTTCTTTAAATTATTTTGCTGCATAGTTGTAGCCTCAACTGCCTGAAATACTTCCAGCTGAAACAATTTATTCTGAGAGGAAAATAAGATTGTTCTGTTTATAACACCAATCACCCATATAAAACTTAATGTTTTTAGATCCATTTAATTATGCAAATGTGCAGATATACTCAGACCCAAGTAATAAGGGATAAGAATAGTGGTTATGATATTCATGGCTTTTAAGGCCCCTTTCACGTAAGTTTTATCTTTGAAGTACATGTTCTTAAGAAGTTAGATACTACCACTCAGTGTAGTTAGTCACTATCACTGTAAAGTTGTGTAAAAGTTATGTGTGGAAATAGGATTTTTTTGAAACCATGTCTAAAGTTAATGAAGAGACTGCCTCCCTCTTCCTAATACCACTTTACAAAAAAGTAGTATCTGGTTATCAAAGGTAGTAAGCTTCACAAATTTTTCAAATTTGGGGAATTTATCCATTACTAATTTTAATTATTACTAATTTACTTAATTTGCTTTATGTTGGGCTATGCATTCATACTGATTAATCTGTAGGTTTTCGCTCCTCATTAGATATTGTGTCGTTTTTAATATTCGCCTGCTCCCCATCAGTTTAAGTTATAAAGATTTAGCCAAAAAAAAAATATAACAAAATAAAATAAAAAATAAAGGTTTAGCCAAAGTTCTTGATCAGATAATCATCCCTTTATCCCCCAGTGTGAGCTATATAAAAGCAAGAATTTTAAAGATCTCAAATTTTGGGGTAAATGGATAGATAGATAAGTAAATGAATAACCAACATCATTAGAAGAAACTTCTACAGATTCTGGATCTTCTCTGTGAACCACATTTGTTTTTGGTCTAGTAGAGTTTATTAGCAGATATTATACTTTCCCAAGTGCTAAATTCATTTCATTTTTAAATAAATGATAATAGTATTTCTCCATGTTTCTTGGGCAAAATTAGAAATTTCCATATTCTGGAACCATTTTTTGTTTATTTATATTTATCTGAATATACAAAACAAGAAGGAAGGAGGGATCTAGTCTAAACAATGCTGGTAATAAGGAGCTACAGCCCCCAAGATTTGTGGGCAAAGGGGTAGAAAATGATGAAGCCGGGATTGTGGGCATCGTGGGAAGAGTTAGTCATGGAAACAAAGTGGCAGAATCCATATATTTTTCTGCCTATTCCATTGAAAATGCACATTTCCTTTCAAACACCTTAATGATTTTATTGCTTCTTACCTAGGGTTTTGTTTTATTTAATTGCAAGTGCTATATATTTTCATGGTTAAAATTTACAAATAAGGTATAAGGTGATAAGTAAAAGTTCCTTTCCCCACCTTTACTCCTTTATTCTCTAGTTCAGTGGTTCTCAACTAGGGATGAGTTTCTCTCCCAGGAGACATTTGGCAGTGTGTGGGGAAGTTTTCGATTCTAACAGCCTGGTCAGGGAGTGCTACTGGCATCTACTGCTAAACATCTTACAATGTACAGGACAGCCTACACACAAAGAATTATCTGGTCCAATCTCTTTGGTGCTGAGGTTGAAAACATTGCTTTAGGGGTGCCAGGGTGGCTCAGTCAGTTAAGCATCTGGCTCACAATTTTGGCTTGGGTCATTATCTCATGGGTCCTGGGACCAAGCCCCAGTCCAGATGGGTGCACAGCAGGGGGTCTGAGAGTCTCTCCCTCTCTCTGTCCCTACCCCAACGCATGTGCGCCTGTGTGTGAACATTTTCTCTCTCTTTCCCTCTCTCTCTCAAAAATAAATAAAAAAATCTTTAAAAAGAAAAACATTGCTTTAGTTTTAGTCCACAGAAGTACAATGATTTCTCATAGAATCTTCTAGATTTTTTTCTCATATATAGGCTGAAAACAACAAAATAGATGATTTTTGTTCTGTAATTTCTTTTTTTCACTTAATATTTCCTAGGCAGCTTTCCATGTTAGTATATGGGAACCTATCTAATTCCTTTTAATGGCTACTTAGCATTTCATTATATGCTTGTACCAAACCTTATTTAACCAATACCCTAATCTTGGGAATTTATATTGTTTACCATTTTGTTATTGTAAACACAGTTTTACTTAACATCTTCATATGTGCCTTCTCTGTGTGCTTTAGAAGTGTATCTTTAATTTCTAAAAATGAGTTGGTGTATGTACATTTAAATATGGATAGATATTACCAGATTTCCTACCAAAAAAATTTTTTGTGCCAGTTTTTACTCTCCCTAATAGTATATGAGAAAGCCTCCTTTCTCATGTTTAGATTAGTGTATGGAGTATATTTAGAAAATATACATTCTCAGGCAAGAAATTAAATGCAGAAATTTGTTAAAAATGTCCATGGAAACATGGTAATAGGAGAATGGGACTTATTTTGAAAGTTGGAGAGGCTTTAAAAATGGAAATAAAAGTAATAGAGTAAGAATTTTTTTTTTTTTCCTTTTCATTTACTAACTTCTTTTTATCCTTAAGGTCCTACCTAAAACTGTTTTGGTCATTCTTCAGAAATGATAACTAGAAACACAAGAATAACTCTTGTATTCTTAAAAGACTTAGAGTTTACTAATACTGTCTCATTTGCTTCTTTGCCTACCTTGTCATACCTGTTTAGAGATGAAGAACTGGAAACATGGAGACTTTTTATGACTTACTAATATAAGTTTCAGTATCACCACTCAGGCTCTAACCAACCAGAGCTACCTTCTTACGCTATTTTTGAAATAGTTTACAAATAACTAAACAGAAACTAACCATACCACTATATTTTTTACAAATCAACAGGCAATTAAATGAATGACATCTGCAAACTGTTTGTTAACCTGAAAGTGTTACCCCTATTCATATACTTCTGTGTGCTTTTACTCTTTATTTTTGCTACTAAAAACAAAGGGTAGTTGCTTTCTGATTACTTTTTTATTTTACAAGTTAGCATTTTTTTTAATAAGTCATGAGTTGGAAAAAATGAATCACAAAGATGTGTGGAGACAAATCATGTTTTATTTACAGTAATTTATCTTTGATTTATTATCAGCATTATTTCAATCATCTAAATTTCATTTCTTGTAATAAAAATAAATTTTTGTTCTTTAAATTCAATTTAGTAAAAGTCCTTCAGCATTAAAGCCGAAGCTATTTCAAAATGTTGGAAAAATTCTGCTTGCAACTATCTTGTAAATCATAACACATCTCTGTTAATCATGGGCATCACTAATCAGAAGTACAGAGGTAGGAATCAAGAGGGCATATTAAGATTATCGATTATATAAGGTAAAAGCAAGTTTACATTTATATTGGAAATTTCTTTTAACTAGATTTCATATGGGTTTGTAGTTTGCTGTCATCTGAAGCAGGGGCAAGGAGTGTGTTATTGATATGTAGGACTAAGCTGTGGGGGGAAAAAGGACACAAATGTTTATATTGATAACATTTAATTCCTTGCACAAATGGTTAGTTTTAGTTTTGTTTTATACTGCTCAACTATGTTTAAAAACAGTTGCTGTAAGTGAATGTCTAATCACGTATCATTTCTGTTGCCATAATTATAGAGCATTTTTTTTAAGATTTTATTTATTTATTAGAGAAAGCACAAGCAGGGGGAGCAGCAGGCTTCCTGCTGAGCAAGGAGACTGATTTGGGACTCAATCCCAGGACCCTAGGATCATGACCTGAGATGAAGGCAGACGTTTAACCGACTGAGCCACCCAGGCGTCCCTTATAGAGCATTTTTAACAGAAGTATGAGGTCATTGTGTGAATCAGAATGGTGCAGTAGTGTGGGGGGTCTTCATTAATGCTATCCTCATGTAGGCACTACCATCTCTTAAATTTCTGAAGCTTGCATAGTAATTTGCACACAGATTACAATATATAATAAGAGGGACTGAGACTTGGACGGTTTTGTTTTATTTCATCAGTCTTGGGGCTTCCAAGGCAGATACTCTCAAGACAGATGGGCTGTTAGTTTGGGATCTTTTGGGGGAGAACCCCAGAGATCATTCAGGATTGTTACCTTAAAAAGAAGGAAGGAAGGAAAGCAGAGAGGGGAAACACGAGAAAAAGTCCTTTCGATATTTGATCATAGAGATGTGTTCCTAATTTCTTAACCCCAAATCTGGAACTTCTTTGAGGATCTTTTCATAGGAGCCTCTTAAGTATGCTATAATACTAGTATTACTTTTAATATTATTAAAAAGTTCAAAAACATTTTGGATAGTTGATAAAGACTAAAGAATAGGCTTCCCCCCCTCCCCCTTTTAAGAACAAAGCTAAATTCTTTGAATTTTGGTTTAGATAAGGAAGATGGGTTACATAGATTGATGATATTTATTCCTGGCTGCATCCCTGACAGGAAAAAGAATGAAATACTTTACTTTAGCAATCTCTTCTGTGTTCAAATTCAGGTGGGAATAAGGTACCAGTCCTTGCATAAATGTGTGAGTGTGTCTGTTGAACTGGATAATAGTTTTATAACTGTATGACAGAGAAATTATAGGTAGGAAGGAACTAAGATCACTGATTAAAGGGAGAAGCGGCTCCCCCTAGGCTGTTAAGAA